AGTAGAATGGCCTTCTTCGAGCCAAAGCGCAAGGATGAATTCGAGTTCATCTCCGGGACCAAAATGCGCACCCTGGCCAAGACCGGAGCCAGTCCTCCGGATGGCTTCATGGAACCGGAGGCGTGGCGCATCCTGGCCAACTATTACCAGAACCTGCCGCAGGCGTAACCCGCTGCCAACACTCGACCAGCAACGTGCAATTCCTCCTAGTTATAGCTTATGTGCTTATTATACATGCTCCCACTTAATGGCCGCTTATCACTTATCACATTGTCTGTCCATCGTTACTAACCTGAATTCTGTGTGTGAATGTTGTGCTCCTCCTAACTAAATGTTCGTATCGTACAATCTACTTGTATCTACACTTAAGTCACCCAATTCTCTGTTTATCTTAAGCAAAATGTCGTGCAGCTATTTTGTGGACTGTTTTTTAAATATATATATAAATAATTATCTAGTATCAGCATTTATTTATGGCTCTTTTATGGATTACAGGGAGAGACAATCATATATCATAAAGAAATTATCATCATATCAAACGAATCATAACAAAGTTTTATTTTAATCAAAATGCAAATGGTCGAATGGCAAACTTCGAGGTTGATAAACTTTTAAGGAAACATCTTGACTCTAACATCATGTGAATACACTTCAAAAAGACCGAAGCGGATGTGGTCTGCAAAATAACCGTCTCTAAACCCAAAACTCAAATTGGCTGTGATTCACCAGATTTTTAGAAGTCTTAATTCTAATTGGTTTCTTTGTGAAACCGTTTAAAAATTAAATTTAATTTCATAAATAAAATATCAGAAATAATACATTTTCAAAATCAGGAAAAAGATTAAATATTACCTATTTTAAACCATTAAACAATTTTTAAATTATCGAGACTTTTACTTATTTTGTGTTTCTTAACAGAACGCTAACAGCTGTTAATATTTGTCAATGACAAAAGCTCCCCGCTACAAGACGACCCTCTGTAAAAAAGCCTTCAGTAAAAACCAGTTTTTATTGGTTTTGCACATGATTTATTTTTATAAAATTGTATACGTTTAATCATTAATATTACAAGTAATTAATTAATATCAAATATGCAATTAGTTATCATTTAATTTCACATAATTTATTTTACTGCGCTGTGTATGTGTTCATAATTGTTTATTGCTGTCGACCGATTTGACTCGATGGACTACCTTTAATTGGTGATCGCGTCTGCAGATCTTCATTAATGATTATTTATTAGATGTAACGGTTTATTGACAGAGTCGTGTGGTGTGCGGCAGAGAACAAAATAAATAGAGTACAAACTAACCAAATGAAATGTGTGTGAAGATTAAGAAGAATAATAATATAATAAGAGCACCCTCAAACTGTGCGATACTACCACATTTATGATATATAAAGTTAGGGGGAGGGATGGGACGGGTGTGGGTCGGAATTCGGGGAGTACAATTGGGGTAATTGTGCGTCTGGACATCCTCCGTATTCCTAACGTAATGGCAAAAGGGTTGCTAAATCGATCGAAAGTACACACAAGCAATGAGCAAAACAAGGACAGGTGGTAAACTAATCATATGCATACATAGTACATATATATTTGTTTTACAAGTAATAATTTACAAATCGACAACAACCATGGCTGCTAGAGAAAATCATAATTCCGTAAATACTAAAACCTTTTCAAGAAGGACGCGGGCGGGTTGGATTGGCTGCTCTTCGCTCTTTACGTTATCGCTGAATCATTTTTAACTTGAGTTATATACGTATATTTATGTATATTATCATGCCTAGGTATATTTCTTACACGCTGTCGTCACATACTTTATTTAATAACTGTTTCATAATGCAATTTGTGTTCTATTCCATTATCGCGCTTATTCGGTTAGGGAGAGCCGGCTGTTTGTTTGTTGTTGTTTAAGGTTGATTTAGATGTCAGTTAATGTTCGCTTGTTCGGGGCCCCGGTTGTATTCGAACCTAACAGGAGTTAAGAAAACTACTACCTCGTAGTTACCACCATAAACTACTGTCACGTAGTCGTTGCCACCATGCCGCATCAGTGCCGAGCGCACGTTGCCACGTCAAAGCAGACTGCACCTGGACAACCAACTGTCCTTCGTCCGACTGTCCATCGGTTTCAGCTGATGGCCGCCCTTGGGTGGGTTGTTCGCCTCCTGTAAACGCGGGGGATATACATATATGGTTATTAATCTCTTTGTTCGCATTTCCCCCCGCAGCACTCACCATCCGCTTTTCCGTTTTCGCTTTGATATCACTGGCTAGGGTGAGGAAGGCTTCTTCCACGTTGATGCTGGCTTTGGCGGAGGTCTCCATGAACTTGATGCCATACTCGATAGCCAATTGTTCGCCGCGCTCCTTTGAAACCTTTGAATGGGTAGAACATTGAACAATTAGTATTCTATTGAACAATTAATACATGTGTAATTCTCAGCAGATAGCAATTAAATAGTTATATATGGTTATTAAAAAGGGTATAATAGAGGTGTAAGCTAAATAAAGTATTTATTTCTTAGGAATTTAAGTACAAATCAATTAGTTTGGAGATCCTATCAGAAAAAATTAATATAAATCTAATTGGTAATTAGGAAATTCTTAAAAGTTTAATTCTTTGGTTTAATGCATATTAAATGTTGGTCAGGTAAACCGAATAATTATTCACAAATGCAGAAGTAGTTGGGTTACTCTCGAATTGATAAAGCCACTTCAAAGTCTAAGAATAACCAGTGAGTTCATTAATTACCCTTCGCCTTACCTGTCGCTTATCGGTCAATTCGCACTTGTTGCCCAGCAGCATTTTCTCGACGTCGGCGGAGGCGTTCTCCTCGATGTTCCTGATCCAGTTTTTGATGTTCTCGAAGGACTTCTCCTGGGTTATGTCATAGACCAGCATGATGCCCATGGCACCTCTGTAATAGGCCGTGGTGATTGTGCGAAAACGCTCCTGGCCGGCAGTGTCCCTGTGAAAGTAAGAAATATTTGAATAAAAAGATATCCCAGATATACTATTTTCTTATCACTTACCATATTTGCAGCTTTATTTTCTTGTTATCTAATTCAATTGTTCTAATTTTAAAATCGATACCTGCAAAGAGAAAACAGATGAGCATACACACACACACACAAAAGCTAATTAATTTGAATAATTTGGCAAGTGGCTGAACCTGTTTGTTCGGAACCCATGACGTCACAATAAAAGTAAAGACAAAGCGGGGAACAGAAATCGACAAACCACGCAATTGATTTAAACAATGTCGTTGAGTAAATGGCCCAAAATTGGAAGTGTCGCAGGGAAAACGTGCCAAAAACGAAAATAAACAATTATTAGCCACGAGCAGGGATGGGAATCGTTCGACTTTTGTGTTTACAAGTACAGAAAGTACAATGTACTTGACAAAAATTATAGGTGAAGTGAATACATATTTTGGTTATTACTCGATTAAAGTATCCCTAAAGACTATTAAGATTTCCGGGGTTAATTGAATTATTCTTGTACAAATTATAAAAGCATAGTACTCAAATTTTATAGAATTATTCTTGTGCAAATTATAAAAGCATAGTACTCAAATTTAGATATATTATTAGACTATCACTAAAGGCTCTAATTATTTCCCGGGTTAATATAATTAATCCAGTAAAATTTATAAAAGCATAATATTCAGTTTTAGATATATTATTAGATCTTTCCAACGTTATAAAACATTTTTTAATAGTGCAAAAAGTACGTATATATTGTTTTTAAGTTTCAAAATGTAAAGAAATATATTTTTCTAACACAAGCCTCTTTAGGTAGTTCGCGCTAGGAAAGTTTTACTGTATCTACTGGGTCCCTGGGATTTATACGACACTCCCGGTCTCGGCGAGCTAATGGGTAAGCCTCGTATCAGAACAATCCGGCTTCTTCGCTGATAAGAGCAGCGAAAGTACAAAGACTGCGGATGAGTCGAGCAATCATTTCTGTTCGCTTTCCTATGCGGGTGTGAATCTGTAGCCGAGATAGCGATTCACATCCGGATAGCCAAGTTCTTTACGGGAAAAGAAATCAAACTGAGGAGGGCGGGATAGCCCCTCCCTGGAAAACAACAATAATTATGACAAATACTCGGGGCCAGCGCAAAAGAAAAGAGGAGAACGTTGGCACATGAGTCACTCGCTCGCTGGGCCTGAAGCTCGAATTCCGAATGAGTTCATGCGAACCAAGGCGTCATAATTAATTAAAAGTCGCCGATGATGATGGCAGATTCCCGACACTCACCTATTGTGGATATAAACGTAGTGTTGAAGGCGTCCTCGGAGAACCGGAACAGGATGCAGGTCTTGCCCACTCCCGAATCGCCGATCAGGAGCAGTTTGAACAGATAGTCGTAGGTCTTGGCCATCTTTTTGCGGTAGGATCACAGCGGTTCGTTCGTCACTAGTCTGCCCGATGATAATGGCTTTTTGGGGGTTAGGGTAAGGGTTAAGGGTAATGCTGTACACGTCGTCGCCTCCGCAGTGACTTCCTCGATTCCGATTCCGATTCTTCGCTAATAGCACTAATCACGAGTATTCCCCATGCGTGCCGTTGAATATATATTCCCAGACGTAACCGCAAAAGTTCGCAATCGAATCGTATACTTTTTCCTTCTTCTCTGCCTCAGCTCTTTTGGGTGTGTGTGTTTTGTGTTTTCGATTTCGGAGCCGTGTCAAAAATGGCGACGTAGTTTTAAGACTTTTTTGTCTGCGCCCGAGATTCGCTTTTCGCGCGACGGCGGCTTTTCCGGTGGGAAAATGCAAGGGCCCTCGCTTCGCAGTGCGAGAATGCGTCGGTTTGTTGTGGTTGGGACGTGGAAATTAACTTAATTACTGCTTTCTAATTACGCCCGTACAAAAAATATGATTGTTGGCGGTGTTGGTCAACGATTGCTTGCCCTGGCATTGCCTATCGATAGGATATCGGTGGTTTACCGATAGTTATCGGGGGAGGAGGAAAACAAACAGCTGTTACGTACAGTGTTGCAAAGCGAGCGCTTGACAAGAAACAGAAGAAAATAGCACAAGACAAGAGCCAAAAAGACAGGTGTATTAATTATATATTGTCCTGATCCTGTTTGCATCTGATCCCTGACCGACCGCGACTGTTGAGTGAAGTGAAGAACCAATGTGAACAGTGGCGTCGCCAGACGCAGCAGCAGCAGCAGCAGCCGCAGGAGGAGCCCTAGAATCCATCGCAGCAGCTGCACCCCCGCAAACAAAAAATTCTGGGCCATGGGCACCAAGGAGTCCAAACACTCCAATAGCATCAGCTACGAGGATTCGGTGAAGCGCGGTGAGTGTCCTCCCAATTGGAATTTTGTAGTGGAAAATGGGTCACTGGTAATCACGAAAAGCAGAACCCCCGCAAAAGCAACAGCAACAACACAGGCAGGTGCAATCGATTCCGATTCCATTGTTGTTGCGCTTCTGACCAGCGATTCACCCGCCCCCTGACCCACTGCTCCTCCTGATCCTGGATTTCCCTTTCCCGCAGTTTTTTGCTAATTAATTTCTGCCATTCCAGTGCGCCTTTACTTTATTTGTGTTTGTGGGCTGCATGTGTGTGTGCATGGGTATTTGCGTCGCCGCCGCCAGTGACGTCACAATAGAAAAGCTTAGCCAAGGGGGTGGTTTGGGAGGTGGGCGCTGGGTGGCTGGGAGACAACAAAGCAGCGACGCACAGAAAAACAGTTAAGTAGCCGTAGCCAGTGCAGTAGTGCAAGTTCATGCTTAGGGTGACTGGAATGCGCGGATGCGGATGTCGCTGCGGATGCGGTTCATTTCAAGTTCACCATGCCATTCCAGTGTTCATTTCAATACGAATATTTTGCACAAAGGCTTTTTATAAAAGTATTTAATAAAGAAACCTCTTAGTTTAAGTTCTTTAATTGAACATTCAGCATGTCATTCCCGAATTCATTTCGTATTTAAGTGCATAGGCATTCTGAATAGTAAATGAAATCGCTTACAAGTGCATTTTGAGATAGAAACATTTTGGTTTTTAAAAGGCTGACGATTAGGCAAATTACAGTGGTACCTCCCAAGCTTAAATTTCTGAAATCTGATTTCTTTACATATTTAATTTCAATAACAAGTTTCTTGTCAATAATTCTTTCTTAGCTGTATTATTAAAAAAAGAATAATCATTTACGTTCGAAGTCTTAAGGTTCGTCCAATCACTTTCACTGATTTCCCAATGCTGTATAATAATAGTAAACCCCCTATATCAAATGTTAATCATCCAAGAAGTTAAGATTATTTTAGCCAACGGGAACCCGTTAGTTTCCACCCCATCACCCCATTCCCAATCCCATTCGCAATGACGTTTAGCGTTGGCAGTGCTTTTCACTTACTTTATTCCACATTCCCTTTGCGCTGGCATTCATCTCACTACTGGTGTTGTTATGGTTATGGTTGCTGATTTGCGGCCAGGCAGCCGGAGTTAAGAAAACGAATGTCGCTGATAAGAAGGCCCTCCCCCGACCCATCTGACCACCCCCTGAAAACCTGGGCGTGCGACCAGGTGCGTGTGTTTCTTATTAGCCACACCGACCGACCGGTTCCAATAAAACCAAGCCAACGGAGAAATTCATGAAAAGACGAGGGAAAATAAATGCTGGCATGCAAGTGCGGCAGTCAGAAATCTCAGAGCCCAGTTGCAGTTGATATTCCGTTTCCGTGACGTCGCATAATATTGCCCAATTAATTGCGGAATGTATTTTCACGCCCCATTTGGGCGCTTATCATTATCAGTTGACTCTGTTCTCAACCTGATCGCTGAAATTAAAATGGTTTATTTATTGTCAATTGAATGACACTTCTTATGGGTTTTTATTTCCTACATTAATTAGTCAACGTTATGATTTTTAAACAAAGGTTAATGAATGAAAATCTTCGATTTTATATTGCACATAATTTAGTCGATTTATTTATTGCTTATAGGTGTCTTTAAAGGAAATACTTTTGAAGTTAAAAAAGTCATAATTTATAAAAAATCTGAAATATTTCTTAGATGATGAATGGACCTTTCTTACTCTTTCCGGTCGTTTTATGACTTAAATGCGATACGATTTTTAATTGTCGTCGGATGTGAATGTGTGTTTATAAACATATGGACGTGCACTTGTGATTCCTCGCAGTGTGATTCACAATCATTCGAAAAAGACGAAAGAAAAACATTATAGTAGGCTTTGGGATACCCATTCCCTAATGACCTATTTTTAAATATGTTGCATACCTGTAGGGTTTTTTATTTTAAAAAAAGTTAACATATTAAATAAAGGTACAATAAGAAATGGATAATGAAAAAAAGTTATTATTTATCAAATAGAAATTAATTTTATCTATTACCTACTTTTCACCCATACGATATACAGTTCGATCGAGGGGTATAAAAATCAATTATAGATAATGGCTAATTAGGTAACAGCGACACTTGATCCCATAAGTGATGGAATAGATAAATAATTTCAGAAATTATGTTTATTGCTGTTATTAACGAGTGCAGCAAGTGTATTTTTTGGCATTTGATTTTTACTCCAATAATCGTTTTATTATTGACGTCACGTTGGTTGGTGTGAAACGAGCTCGTAAATCGAATTAAATACGGGGGCTCCCAATCACGTCGGCTATTAATTAGAAGCATTTTGGATAATCCCTACCGCAAGCGTTACTCATCCATCTATTTTGATTCCAGTAAGCGATGTGGAGCTTCGCCGCCTTAGGGATGCCTTCAAGAAGTCGGCGGGCGTGGGGAGGAACTTCCTCAGTCGAAATGCCTTCCAGCAGGATGTCCTTTGCGAGGGAGTGCCGCCGAAGATCACGGACATGCTCTATACTGCCTGTGGTGGCACCCAGCGCGGCATCTCCTTCAACGACCTGCTCTGCGGCCTGGTACTGATCACCCGGGGCACTCAGGGTGAGAAAACCAAGTGAGTATGCCATAAAATTCCAGGTATAACTATAAATAATTAACTATCTTCCTTTGTTCCTTTTAGATTCCTGTGGAACCTCTATTGCAACGATGCCGGCACCTTTATCATCAAGTCGGACTATGTGCGCAATGTCAATCTGCCTCCCTTCGAGAGCGTCTCCTTGTTTGCCCAGAGCGAACGCGTCAATTTCGAGCAGTTCCAGGACTGGATAATCAAGCATCGCAATGCCACGGTCCTCTCCAAGTGGCTGCTGTCCGACAACTGTGTCAGTCTCACCTCGGAGCTGGAGACTCCAACGTTTTACCAGAGCCTCGCTGGAGTGACGCATCTCGAGGAGAAGGTGGGAATATGCAACTGTGGCTAATAATATTTCTTAAGAAGTGTATTTTACCTGAGTGTTTTCACACCTGTTTGCTTATCCCCCACTTTAAGTTTATCAAGCTTTCAATTATTCCCTTATATTCTATTGGTTAGTCAACATAAACTCCTCAAATATATCTCAAACTCGCTCAACTCCCGACAACGTCATTAAAATCATCCAAAATTAATTCAAAATCTAAATTCAAATAATAAATAAAAATGTATATAATTCGACACCTTGAAAAAGCCCAAATTAAACTAAAAATCTAAATTCAAATTATTAAAATAATAATGTATATATATAATTCGACACCTCAGATGAGCTGAAGGCCTTAGCTGCTAGAGTTCTTAATCTTATTTATATAAATAAATAAAAAAACTCCTCATATATTCCATTTCAGGACATTGGCGATCTGGAGAAGGAGTTTTGGCGCTTGAAGAACACTTCGCAAAACGGCCAAATCGACCTGCAGTTCCTGGGCCCGCTGATCAGCCCACCCATACCAAAGAATGCGCTTGCAGGACTCTTCAATGCCTTCGATGAGAACCGCGACGGGCACATCGACTTCAAGGAGCTGTGCTGTGGTGTGAGTGCCGCCTGCCGGGGACCTGGAGTAGAAAGAACACGATGTGAGCACTAATTATCATGCTATAGACTATCTACTTATTAACTCTTACCCTTATGTACCCAAAGTTTGCTTCAAAATCTTCGATGTGGATCGAGATGGGGTGCTTAGTCACGAGGAGACACTTCAGATGATCAACGTTCTGCTGCTGGTGGCCAAGGAGAACCGCGAGGCCCAGCAGTACAAGGACCTGACCAAGCAGCTGGTTATCAGCGATCTGCTGGAGTTTGGCCAGCGTAGAAGCCCCGATGGGACGCCCAGCAAACTGACCCGCGACAATGTCTCGCTCACCGCCGAGGATTTTATGCTGTGGAACGTGCAGTGCGACCTGAGACTTATGCAGCCCCTGCTGGACCTCATCTTTGAGCTCTGCCACATCGTCTTTGGCCTGTGGCCGCAGTGCAAGCACATGGAGAACGATATTGTACGCGGCTGGCTGAGACGCGAGGAACGCAGGCCGTATCGCGTTGGCCAATTCTGGTATTTGATTACCCGCGACTGGTGGCTCGGCTGGATGCAGTACACCCAGCATACGGCTCACACCTGCGACTATTGTAAGAGGACTGCCAGCCAGCGAACCGCCGTCGATGAGGCGCTTGTCTGCGATGAGAGCTTCAACACACACAGCCTGGAGCAGCACGATAGCTATTCACTGGGATCCGCATCCGGTTCCGGGTCGGCGAGCAGTGGCATCTCAGCGGGAAGGCACTGCGGACCAGTGCGACCGGGACCCATTGACAACAGCAATCTGATTACAGCCAATCCGTTTCGAAATGTGCGCACTCTCACCGGCGAGGGTGGTCACCTCAAGCGGGATACGCCTCTCGTGCAGAACCACGACTTCGAACTGGTTCCCAAGTCCTTGTGGAAGGCACTGAATCGGTGGTATGGCGACAATCTGCCACTGCCTCGGCAGGTAAGCTTTCTCATCACAAGCAAATTTAACATAATAATTAGACCTCGGGTTCTGCATATTTGTCCATTTTTGGCCAGATTTTTACCAAATTTCTGGGTAGGTGTCCTATTTTTTAAATGTAATAAATTCGGATGCATATCGGAAATATGCAAAAAAAAACATGCAAAAAATATATGCATAAAATATGCAAAATATATGCAAAATATATTCAAAATATGCAAAATATATGCAAACAACTGGAGGCTCACATTTTTAATGCAGCCCTCTTGGTATTCTAAGGAACCTTCAGTAAACACGGCTAGCAATTTAAAAGAGCAGTTTGGCCGATAGGGCCAAAAACTATTCAGCCCCTTTTACTATTTTTGCCCCCTTCTCGCCTACTCGTTGGAAATATAAATATGATTTCTTAAATTTCGGAAAAAATTAGATTTCTCAGAAATAACGAAAAGGAACAAACAATTTTCTTCGGGTAAATTAGGTTGGCTATGAAATGGTCAATCTTGAATAGTTGAGTTAACTTTATATTTTCCATATTTTATCCATATGCATTTTATGCAAATATGCAAAAAAAAATAAAAAATGCCATTAATTTTAAACTATATTTTTATTGAAACGAACTTTGGTGTTTTCGGAATTGATCTATCTTTATCCTATAAAAATATACAAAATCCGAGGTCTACTTATCACAAGCAAACTTAACATAGTAATCCTCTAACTTACTTCCCGCTAGGTCATCCAACCGCCCAACTCGGATGTGGAACTGGAGCTTTACCCGCTGAACATGCGCATCCTGCTCCACCAGGCTCAGCCATCGCAGACAGGCGTCGGCGGTGGCGGTGGCACTGGGCAACTGGGCAGCTGGGGCTCCACGGTGAGCGGTGGCTACGGTGTCCTGGCCTCCGGAGGCGGATATGCGGCCATTGCGGCTAGCAGTGTGCTTCAACCGCCGAAACGATACCTCGCCTACACGGCTGCCTTCAGTCGACTGGCCACGGTGCGCCAAGTGGGCGAGTTCCTGTGCGAGCAGCTGCGTCTCAAATCGGAGGACATCCGGCTGTGGCACGTGCCGCAGCTGGACAACGGTGCCATATTGCTGGAGGAGGATGCCATGTGCCTGAAGGAGCTGCTTATCCGGGACAACGACCAGCTGCTGCTGGAGATTCGCAACAAGGATTTGACCTGGCCCGAGGAACTCGGCTCCTTGGCCAGCGCTCAGAGTGGCCAAGGAGCGGGAACGCCGGGCGATCGGCGTCGCCTCACCCGCAGCTCAATTATGTCGGTCCACGCGCCGGGAGCCACTGGATTGCACAACCTGGGGAATACCTGCTTCATGAACGCCGCCCTGCAGGTGCTGTTCAATACCCAACCGCTGGCCCAATATTTTCAGCGTGAGATGCATCGCTTTGAGGTGAATGCGGCCAACAAACTGGGCACTCGCGGCCAGCTGGCCATGCGCTATGCGGAGCTGCTGAAGGAGGTCTGGACGGCGACGACGCGCTCGGTGGCGCCGCTCAAGCTGCGCTTTTGTGTCAACAAGCATGCGCCACAGTTCGCCGGCGGCGGGCAGCACGATTCGCAGGAGCTGCTCGAGTGGCTGCTCGATGCACTGCACGAGGATCTCAACCGCGTGATGGAGAAGCCCTACAGCGAGCTGAAGGACTCCAACGGGCGCCCCGACAAAATAGTCGCCGCCGAGGCCTGGTCGCAGCACCACGCTCGCAACCAGTCCATCATCATCGATCTGTTCTACGGTCAGCTGAAGTCAAAGGTCAGCTGTCTGGGCTGCGGACACGAGTCGGTGCGCTTTGATCCGTTTAGCCTGCTCAGCTTGCCGCTGCCGGTGGAGAACTACGTTTACTTGGAGGTCTTGGGTGGGTTATTAGAAGTTAAAGCCCTGCATGAATGGATTCAATGAATTATTTAAAATTTTTTGTTTTATATGAATGAATTAATTAGAATTTTGAGTTTAATAGAATTGAATGAATGAATGGCATAAATTCCGAAAAAATTCAAACGACAATTTCTTCTGAAGAAGAAAGGGCCATAATTTTGTGATTAAATCTGCCTAAATTTTATTTACTAAGCAGTTAACATTGATTCGTTAAACATTTTCCACTTCTTGTTCTTAAAAGAAAGCAAAAAAAAATCTGACAAATTAAAAAAATGTATTAAAATTATTCATTCATTCAATTCGAAATGAATTAGAAAAACATTCAATTTATTTCACATAGAATTGAATTAAACAAATCAGAAATTTGATGGCATACTATGATACAACAAAAATTGAATGAATTACGCAGGGCTCTATTAGAAGTATAACTAATGTAAATTATCTTTTAGTAATCCTTTTGGATGGAAGCGTGCCCATCAAATATGGTTTCCGCCTGAACTCCGAGTGCAAGTACTCGCATCTGAAGCACAAGCTATCCACTCTGTGCTCCCTGCAGCCAAATCTGATGCTCGTCTGCGAGCTGTGGAACTCACAAATACGCCAAGTCCTTTCCGACGAGGAGAAGCTACGCACGCAGAGCGCCAAGGAGCTGTACGTCTATCAGCTGCCCGAACAGAGTGTGCGGACGCGATCCAACTCGGTGCTCAGCATGCACATCGAGCAGGGACTCAAGGACATTCAGCGCAGTTCCGGTGGGATCACAGAACAAAAGATGTTATATAAATATTATATATATGTTTGTATGCTTTCAGCTCTCATCACCAGCGCCCAGGACTCGCTGTCCTCGCTGAGCACCCTGCAGACCTCCAGCCACCGCGCCTCGTCTCGAGTCCTCTGCAATGGCCATGTCTCTGGCCTGGAGGTGGAAACCGAGGCGGAGATGGCGGCGGATGTTTCGCACTACAACAATAATTACAATCCCATCGTTAGCACTTTCAGCGGAAACGGAAGCGGGGACAACCAAGTGCACGAACTGCTGCCAGATGAGGCCGGAAAGGTAAGCCGGTGCTTTGGAAAGCGAGAGTGCATGCCCCACAGCCTATTTTGCTTCAAGGTATGGCTTCTAAACTATATTAACATACACGTATTTAATATCATAGATTTACGCCCCAGTTTCTGGGGGCCAATTCAATTCTAAAATCAATCTAAAATCAATCTAAAATTCAGAGCTACAGAACTTCAGAACTTCCCTTGCCTAGGAAAGCGGCGAATGAGCTGCAAAGATATCGTCGGGTCGTCTTTAGAATCCGCTAAAGATTCCGCCTCCGTCTGCTTCTCGAGTGTCACTTTACAAGCGTTTAATCAAAATATATATATTAAATACCACTATGTTAAATGAACAGTTGCCGTCTGCTGCGTGGTTTGTGGGCTTCCCTCTTAACTACTCAAAACTACTAGCAAACTCTGTATATTCTCCTTACTCTCTCGTACTCGCACACTGTTTCCAAAATTGATATCAATTATTTGTAATCTATATATCCTTCTACTAATCATTTAATTTCTTGCTGGCCTTTTTCCACAACTAATGTAAATTTTTTGCTTAAAACATAAGACAACTTTTCGAATCACCTCTTTGCTATCCTTGAATATCTTTGTTGTTGTTGGTTATCAAGTTGGAAGTTTGTGAATTATAATTTATCTTGTAGTTTTTAGTCATTCTCATAGCTTTGCAATTCCACATTAATAGCGATTCATGTTACCCATATCTTGTGTTTGTTTTTTTTAGAAAGTTCAGAGTATCCTAAATTTTAATTCTATTAGCTTAGACGAAAGCCGTTTTTTTAGGTAGAATTTTAAAAACATAACTTAAATAAATAAATCTTAAATATTTCTAAACATTTAAACAAAAACTTGAAACTAACTTTTTAAAATTTTAGTAAAGTTCCATAATTTAAATTCTAAAATTTAAATAATTCAAATTCCAAAGCATATATCCTTCGAAATCTGTATAAAAACTAAATCATTTCTATTTGATAACTACGATTTCACTTTCCACCGACCTCGCGGAATAACCAAAATATGCAAAAAGTTAATTAAACCACCTGCCATAAAAAATGTTGTAAATTTCTATGTAGATTTTGAATCTTAGCGTTTACCCTCTAGACATTTTGTACATTTACAAGTAGATTGATCCTTGGTTAATTGAGTTCCCAAAGCTTTTAATACACAACTACACCCAACACGCCCCTGAAAAAACTAACCGCAAGCCCAGCACAACCAAGTCTAATTCCCCATCTCGGTGCAGGAGTCGCTCATCCTGAGCTCCAGCCCGGAGAACACGTTCATGCACGGCGCGGCTGCCCAGCAGAAGCGTGTGTCCTCCGCCAAGTTGCTGCACACGGAGAGCAACACCAGCTCCATGTCGTACACCAATCATTCGGGCGAAAACTCCATGGAGAGCTCGCTGACGGAACCCATTCCAATGGGCGCCGAACTGGCGCCGGTGAGTAGCCGGCATGGAAGCAACAGCGACGATGGCTCCTCCTTCCGGATGTCGCCGAACGATTCCAGTGGCCTGAGCACGGGCAACACGCTGGGCGCCAGCCTGGATGTGGACGAACAGGCGGAGGAGGGCAACGAGGAGGAGGAGGAGGATGGGGAGGAGCACGATCAGCCGGATCAGATCACCACCTCGCAGCCGGAAACCAGCAGTGGCGTCTACTCCCGCCGCTCCTCGCAGCCGCCGCACAAGGCGGCCAAGTATTTGGTGGCCGTGCATCGAAAGATAACCCGGCACGACAGCTACTTCCTTTCCTACCACAAAACGAGGCCGAGTCTCTTTGGGGTCCCGCTGCTCATTCCGAATAGTGAGGGTGGGACCCACAAGGATTTGTACTGCGCCGTGTGGCTGCAGGTGAACAGGCTGCTCAGTCCACTGCCAGCCACCACGGAGCAGGCAAACCATGCCGCCGATTGGTAAGTATATATTTATTTATTTATTTATATACTTATTTATTTATATATTTATTTTTTTATTTTTTTATTTATTTATTTACTTATTTATTTATTTATTTATTTATTTATTTACTTATTTACCTTTTTTTTATTTACTTATTTATTTATTTATTTGTTTAATTATTTGTTTATTTATTTATTTACTTATTTTTTAATTATTTAATTAATTATTTATTTATTTATTTATTTATTTATTTATTTATTTATTTATATATTTATTTATTTACTTATTTATTTATTTTATGGTCACTTTTTCGCAGTGATGACAGCCTGGGCTACGATTTTCCCTTCACGTTGCGTGCCGTCAAGGCAGATGGTCTAACCTGCGCCATTTGTCCCTGGTCGAGCTTCTGTCGCGGATGCGAGATTCGCTGCAACAATGACTACGTGCTCCAGGGAGCCCTGCCGCCCATCAATGCCGTGGCCAGTGAGTAGATTTTGAAAGCAATTAATTAAATTAAATTAAATTAAATAAATTACTCTTTCAGGCAACACATCAACGCCAAAAATGAACGCTAAATTCCCATCGCTTCCCAATCTGGAGGCTAAACGGACGCCCGAGTATACCGCCTCGTTGTCGTACACGCCGACAACGAAATATTTTGAAGACTTTACCATTGCCATCGACTGGGATCCGACTGCCCTGCATTTGCGCTACCAAAGCACCTTGGAGCGTGTATGTAGAAAAACCCCTAAACGAAAGAACAAAATAATCAAAACATCTTTTTTAGCTTTGGGTGGATCACGAGACCATTGCCATAAGTCGGCGGGAGCAGGTGGAGCCCGTGGACCTGAATCATTGCCTGCGCGCCTTCACCTCCGAGGAGAAGCTGGAGCAGTGGTATCACTGCAGCCACTGCAAGGGCAAGAAGCCCGCCACCAAGAAGCTGCAGATCTGGAAGCTGCCTCCGATATTGGTGAGCTGAAACTTTCCACTGAATGCACTATGATAATCAATCAACTCTTTTTCTTAGATTGTCCACTTGAAGCGGTTCAACTGCGTTAACGGCAAGTGGGTCAAGTCACAGAAGGTGGTTCACTTCCCCTTCGATGACTTCGATCCCACGCCATATTTAGCCTCGGTGCCCCAGGAGACGATACTGCGACACAAGGAGCTGCTGGAACTGAAGAAGGATGTTATGGCAAACAACGAAGTTGTTAGCGAGCTGGACGAGATCGATGCACCTGTGAAGCAGGATAAGGAGGAACTTCCAAAGCAAACAGTAACCGCGGCACCAGCGCCCACCGGAAATATCCTGCGTCAGAGCAAGACCATCAATTCTGTGCGTCGACAGCGGCTCATCTCGACGAGTCTCACCAAAACGCCCATCGTGGATGGCGAGTTCGAGGATTACCACCAGCACCGACTCAAGCCGGAAGTGGATGAGTTCGATCCCAGATACCGACTCTATGCCGTTGTGGTTCGTGTAGCCTATAACTTCGCATCTTGATTGATTATAAAAACTTTATATTTCTAGTCTCACTCGGGCATGCTGAATGGGGGTCACTACATTTCCTATGCATCGAATGCCACGGGATCCTGGTACTGCTACAACGACAGCTCCTGCCGCGAAATATCACAGAAGCCGGTCATCGATCCGAGTGCCGCATATTTGCTGTTCTACGAACGCAAAGGCCTGGACTACGAACCCTATCTGCCGAACATCGAGGGACGGCCGCTGCCCAATGTCTCTGGCGTGCCGCTCGAGGTGGACGAGACCGAGGGAGAGCTGAAGAAGATGTGCTCGATTTCCTAACTGATGTCCACTTCCGTGGGCATCTTGGCTATGAAAATTATATTTTCTTTCTTCCCTTTCTTCCCCGAGTTTGTGTTTTGTTTCGCACCGCGTATGTTTTGTTATTTACTATTCTAAGCTGATTTTGATTTTCCGCAATAGTTGTGTTTAGCCCATAATTAGTTTTTAAGCCTACCTTCTCTTTTCTTTGCCGAGAATTGTGTAATGCATGTAATATACAATATTCAAGTTTAGCTTGTAAATAATACGTTAAATTGGTTGGCCAACGTGAAGTTTTGTTTGTTATGCCGAACAAATGCCTTCGCAATATATTCTTGTTGCTTTGTTTTTGTTGTATATAATTTTAAAATCGTAATTGTATTAGGCCAAACAGGGCCAGCTTATTATTATTTATGCCAGACCATGTCGGGAAATTCCATTTAATTTGTAATTATTACTGTAAATAACAAGCGAAAGAGAAACCCGAACGGCGACAGTTTGATATTAATCCATTGAACAGCAATATCAAGGTGTTACGAATTTCATCCCAAGAACTCGCAGACTATTGTTGCTCTACTCATACGTATTTAAATGTATTGATTGGCTTTGTGTGACGCACCGAGCGGATTCGGTTCGAAATTAGTATTGCGCTTATCAGATATGACTTCAATATGTCTAATGATTATGTATTTGATATTTACAAATTATATATATACACCCGCAGATATATATATACCTATATATGTATACAGAACTTAACTAATTTATATTAATATACATGAACATGATGATATATTCGAAACGAAAAGCTATGAATAAATCAACTTTTATCGCTTGAACCAAATGGCATTTTTAATAAGTTATTAAGACCCAAATATCTGCAATAATACCCAAATAAATAATTCTCTCCTCCTTTTTTGCAATGGAATTCAATACATTTATATTTCGTATCTAGATTATGTAATCACATAGTAAAGAAGTAAATAAGGACTATTATACTTGTCGTAAGTGAATTGATCACGAGTCGTGTTCCGCTGAGATCCGAGATCTGAGAACCAAACTCGCGTTTCGTCAAGTGTCAAACGTTTTGAATTGTTAATTTTTGTGAACGCGACATGGATCGTTTTTTGCTTTTGTTATCGGGATTTCATTGCAAATGATTATGATAAATATAAGTTGTGGGTGTGCGGGTGTTTAATTCTTAGCTTGAGTAAAGTATATTTGCATGGAATACGAATGCTCTTAACATAGATATATTGAGGAGATGCCTAGACGCCGGAATTATTCGATAGCTGGCCGGGCACCGAGAACTGTGGCCGGAAGTTGGCAAAGTTGCCAGCCGGTCCGCTGGTGAATGCTGGCAATGTTGTGCCCTGGAATCCAGCCGGGAATTGTGCCATTAATTGAGCTGCAAAAGAACGAAAAAAAATTAATATTAATATCTATGTTAAATCATTTTATTATCCCTCAAACTCACCAGCATTCGAGGCATTGCCGGCGGTGGCCGCCAGGCGGGAGAGAATCGATCGCTCGGACATCTGGAGCCGCTGGGCCACCGGTGGGATGCGGGCCAGCGTGGCCGGCAGCCGGGACACATCGCTCTTCATGTCCGAGAGCAGCTCCTCGAGCTGATTGAGCACCTTGTGCAGCACCGCATTGGCTGGCTTGTTGCCTGCCAGCGATTCCTTGCTGAGATGCTGATGGGACTCGGCCAGGCATTCGACCTCAGCGAAACGGGCATTCAGCGACATGGCCGGATGGCTGGGATCCTGGGCGAGATTAAGATAGGCCGCGCGGCGCAGCTGCTCCTCGATAACCAACGCCTGTTCCAGCAGCTTGAAGCGGCGGGCCAGGAACTTGTTCTTGATCTCCAGGAAGTTGCCCTTGCCCACGTCCATTTTGAAGGGTTCGTTGATGATGGCGAAGCGGATATCGTTCTGAATGTCCTGCCAGCGTCCATAGCCGTGGGTCACGATGCCGGCCAGCAGCCAGTAGTCGTGGCGACGGTGCCAGATCTCGTACTCCCTGCCGGGCACCGCAGCCTTCTCCTCGTTGAGCCACAAGGTGTGCAGCTCTGTGAATCCGCCATCGGCGATATTGAACATGAATTTGCGCTTTAGGACCTCCAAACTGTCCTCCACTCCCTTGCCGGTGGCTCCAGTTGCGGCAGCGGCAGCAGCGGCCGCCGCCTTGTGATCCTTGGGCGAACTGGCGCTGGGCTTCTCCAGCTCACCGTCCTCCTTGACAATCATCACATCGTCGTCGTCGTCGTCGATAACTGTGGTTGCTGCTGCTATGGGCTTCTTGTCCTCCACCTTCTCCTTTTCCTTTTCTTCGGTCTTGGGCTCTTCCTTTAGCTCAGGGTCCTTGGCCTCCTCCTTGGGCTCTGTCTTGGCCAACTCGGTCTTGACATCTACCGCCTCGCTTGGCTTTGTGTCGCCAATGGAGGTTTCTTCCACTGGTTGCTCCTGCTTGACCTCCCCGGGCTTCTTGTCCTCCTCACCCTCTTGTTCTTGCTTCACCTCGCTCTTCTCAGGGGAGGCCTTCTCCTTATCCTTATCCTTCTCCTTTTCCGAATCCTTGTCCTTTTCCTCGCCCTTCTCGGATGCTGGTGCCGGACTGGGTGCCGCACTGGTGGCCGGAGTGGCGCTGTTGCTGGTCGTAGCGCTCTTGTCCACAGCGGCGGCGGCGGCGGCGGCGGGAGCAGCCTCCAGTGCCGCCACATCCTGCTTCAGAGCCGAACGCACCGGTTCGCATGGCTTGAGGATCAGCTCCGGCATGCTGTAGTAGCCGTTAATATGCTCGAATTCCTGCACCTTCTTGCGAATCAGAGACATCACACCGATCCGGGTGAGAACGTGCTGGCGGGAGAGTCCCTCGCGCGGCACACCATCGGCAAAGGTCTCCGCATTGTCCGCTCCTGGCTCACAAAGGTGCCGCATGAAAAGGGAGACATAAGCTTTGAAATTCCTCTCCGACTTGCCACGCAAATCGCGGACCAACCACTGCGAGTTGAAGGCATCCTGCGGCGGCATTCCGTACCGCATGATGGCATTGAGGAAGCTCTTGCGTTGACGGGCATTAAAGCCGAGCACCTCGATGTTTCCGCCCACGCGGGCCAGCAAAGGAGGCAATGGACGATCGTCGCGTCGCTCCAAACGCCGCTTGGCCTTCCGCTCGCCGCCGTTCTGTTCATCGAAGTCATCGTCGCCGCCATCCTCATCAGAACCAGCCGAATACTCCGAGTTGTATTCGCTGCCATTGTCCTGCCAGTTGGAATCATCTCGTGTGGTATCCGCCGCCACAACGCCGCCATCCGTGTAGTTGACCTGCTTGCGCACCCGCTTGCCCTTGCCCAGGCTGCGACCCACATCCTCCTGGTGCTGCTCGTAGTGATGGCGCAGCAGCTTCACCCAGTACGCCGGATCAGAGTTCTCGGCGTCCTGCTTGATGATCTCCGTCTCCTCCTCCTCCTCCTCCTCCTTGGTGGCATAGGAAGCCACCTTGAACGAGGACAGATACTCATTCGCCCAGGACTCTTTCTCCTCGATTCCCCGATTAGTTCGGTCCAGCAGCTCGGCCACCGCCTTGTCGTCATAGTGAATGGCCTCCTCCTTGTCATCCTCCTTGAACAGATCCTCAGTGCCGAAGCGCAGGATGTCGTCCAGCTCCTGCTTCGTGAAGTTCGCACCCTTGCCGCCCATTCCCGGTCGCACCACCAGATGGGTCAGCATCATCTTTCGCTTGGCCACCTGGGTAACTCGCTCCTCCACCGAATTGCGGGTCACGAATCGATAGATCATCACCTTGTTGGCCTGCCCGATGCGATGGGCTCGCGAGAAGGCCTGGATATCGTTGTGGGGATTCCAATCCGAGTCATAGATGATGACAGTGTCCGCCGTGGCCAGGTTAATGCCCAATCCGCCGGCACGAGTACTCAGCAGAAAGACAAACTGCTGCGCTCCGGGGGCATTGAACCGATCGATGGCTTCCTGACGCAGCGTGCCCGTGATTCCGCCGTCAATCCGCTCGTACTTGTACTGCTCGCCCTCGAGAAAGTCCTCCAGTATATCCAACATCTTGGTCATCTGCGAGAAGATCAGCACACGATGGTTCTGCGACTTCAGCTGCTTGAGCATTTTGGAAAGTAGCACCAACTTGCCGGCTGCCTTGGTCAGCGAATTAATCTCGTAGAGACCACCAGCCGAGGTGGTTGCCTCTTCGGCCGCGGAGGGAAAGAGATACGGATGGTTGCAGCACTTCTTCAGGTCCATCATGATGTTGATCAGCGAACAGGAGCCGCCGCCGCTCTTCGAGTTCAGAGCCTCGTAGTTCTTGGTCAAGATAAACTTGTAGAACTTCTTCTGCATGGCCGACAACTCGACACGCACAATGAACTCCGACTTGGAGGGCATGTTCTTCAGCACATCCGTTTTCAGGCGACGCAGCATGTGCGGTCCGAGCATCTCGTGCAGTCGCTTAACCTGCTCCTCCTTCGAAACATCAGCGAATTCACCCTGGAAGGCCTGCAGATCGTTGAACTTGTCGCGACTCAAGAAGTTGAGCAAATGGAACAGCTCCTCGAGGTTGTTCTGCAGCGGAGTGCCCGTGAGCAGCAGCTTGTAGGCAATCCCATAGCTGTTAAGTATGCGGAAGAACTTGCTCTGGTTGCTCTTCAAGCGATGCGCCTCATCCACCACCAGAACGGCCCAATCGATGCTGCCCAAGCAGGCGGCGTCCATGGAGATCAACTCGTAGCTGGTGAGCAGCACATTGAACTTGTACTGGGTGGTCCGCAATCGCGAGACCTTGCTGCCCCGAATGGCGCCCTCCTCGAAGCTCAGCTCGTTCTCACGTATCACCGCCCGCGAGTCCTTGTCGCCAATGTAGGTGATGCAATAGAAATCCGGTGCCCAGAGCTCAAACTCACGCTCCCAATTGACCAGAGTGGAGAGGGGCACGGCCACCAGGAAGGGTCCACGGCAATGGCCCTCCTTGTACAGCGAGTACAAGAACGTGACCGTCTGAATCGTTTTACCCAGACCCATTTCGTCGGCCAGAATGGTGTCGATCCCTTGGCCCCAGCTGTAGCGCAACCAGTTGATGCCTTCTATTTGGTAAGGATGCAATTGCATGCCGGTTCCCTCCAAAAAGCCTGGCTGATCTTCGTACTTCTTCTTCAAATCAGTAGTAGGTTTATCTGGCGGCGGTGTGTAGTGCTTCACCGGGCGATCTTCATCGTCCTCCACCTTCAGCTTGGACCTGCGACCCTTCTTGCTCTTCTTGCTGCGCGACTGCGTGGTCTCCGAGGTGCAAACGGCCCGCAGATCCTGATAGTAATCGATGGCCTGCCGGAGGCCCTGGATGTCATCGCCCTCCTCCTCCCACGTGGACTTGTCGTAGGGCAGCTCGCGCCACTTCACCAGATACATGGTGCTGCCGTCGCGAGCCGTACGATGATTGATCACCCGCTGGACTATGAGCCACTCGGGCTTGACGCCATTCTTGTAGAACTTCTCCTCCAGCAGCTCGCTGTCGTCGTCGGCCTTCATGCCCACCTTGTCCTTGTGCCGCTGGATGCGCTTGAACCGGGTGTCCGCCTCATCCAGCGACTCCTCGAACTTGGGTGGCTCCTCCATGTCGTATTTCCGTTGGAACGAGCGAATCATCAGGGGATGGTGGACATCCAATTGAACCTCTGGCACCCATTCACAGTGCCAGTACGACATGTTGTGCCACTTGATGAAATATTCGCGGACTCGCGAGTTGCTACTCTTCGAACCCTTGGAGGTGGAGGGTCCATCCTCGCTAGGGCGCACTGCCCAGCGCCAGGTGATGATCTTCTCCGCTTTGCCAGTGAGCGGTGGGCAGCTGCAGCGTGGACAGCGCCAATCGCCATCGGGTATGTTGTCCAGTGGGGGATTCAAGCAGAACGTGTGGTAGGCAGAGGGACACGAGTCGCAGCACAGCAACTCGCCGCCATCCTTGCACACGCGGCAGAACTCCTGATGCTCATCGTCGTCCTCCTCCTCGGCGGCACCGCCATCCGCCTCGCAATGCGGACACGACCACTTGCCCTCCGGCGGCTCATCCAATTCGGGCTCCAGGCAAACCAAGTGATAGGCTCGCGGGCAGGTGTCGCACAGGATAATCTCGCCGCCCTGCTGGCAAACCTCGCAGTAGTCCTGGTGCTCATGCTCGCCATCCTCGCCCTCCGGGAAGTTCTTGGTCTTCTTCAGTTTGTTCTTCTTCTTGAACTTGTTGCCAATCTTGGTCTTGGCCTTCTTGCGCACCACCGGAGCACCGTCTTCCTGGGCAGCCAATTGCGAGTCAGCCTTGTCCGCCTTGTCTGCCTTGGCGGAGGAGGAGGCGACGGGCGTCTCCTTCTCATCGGCACTGTCATCCGATTTCTGGAGCATGCGTTCAAACTCCAAATCCGAATCGCGTTCGGATGCACCGCTGGCTTCCGGCTCCTCGTCCGAACTGTCCCGCTTGCGCTTGCCGAGCAACTTGATCTTCAGGGTGGGCACCTTGGCCGAGGGACGGCGGCCCTTCTTGCCGCGTCCACTGCGCTTGCGGCGCGGCTTCTTCTCCTCCTCCTCCTCCTCTTCCTCCTCCTCGACAACCTCCTCGTAGATGTCGTCGGGCTTTTCGTTGCGCGAAGAGCGCGAGGATCGCGGCTCCTCCGGCTCATCGTCGGCGCCACTGCGTGCCTGGCCAGCAGCGGATGTGCCCGATCCGGCGGCACCGCCCTCCTGCTGAATGTGCGGATTGCTCTCGCAGAACTCACGCCACTTGGCGGCCACCAGCATCATCAGCTTGGGTGCCGCAATCTTGGGGTTCTCCTTCTGCAGAATGGGTCGCACATGCTGCATGAAGGCCTTGTAGGTGGTCAGGCTCTGCAGCTCCTCCTCGCTATACTCGATCTCCACGTCGCACACGCTGAAGGCCGAGCACACGTCCTCCACGGAGGGCATTCCTAAAATGAATGAAAAGCGGCATAAGTAACTTGGAGTTTATAATTGTTTGATTAACCTCCTTTTAATTAGAATTTTTTTAAATGTATGTTATTGATTCGTTAATTGCTAACGCGCAACTTTCTGTTTAATCTTTTATATTTCATCTTAACAATCAAGTCAAGTTATAGAAAAAGTTAGCTGGGTAAATTAGTAATTAATAGCCATAGTTGAAAAGCAGTATGAGAAGTATGTAGTTTTAAAATATTTCTTTGGGTAAAAATTAGTCTAATTTTTGTTATTTAATAACAAATTTTTAGTAAGTTATATAAAACACGGTTAGCATGTTTTTTTTAATTATTTCATTTGTTCAAAAATGTCAAGGGAATAACTGTTATACATAAAAATCAACAAAAAACAGTTCTTTTTTTGAGTTTTATTATAAAAATCAAAAAATAAAAATCATTGCGGATTTGTAAACTACAATGTCTAATAAAAATAGTGGTGTATTTAAAAAAATGTTAGCACCCTTCTAAGTGCGTGATTTTTTTTTAAAGAAAAATTTACAATAACAGTTATTTTTGGACCCTGATTTATTTATGTTATTGATTATTATTTTCACTATAGGATCTTTCCATTAAATCCTTTATTTTCAAAAAAAAAAAAAAAATTAATTAAAACTATAAATAGTTGTACAGTTCGATTTAGGAAAGATTTGTCTACGGATATTAATTTTCAAGCAATATTTTTGAAATTAGTAATTAATGGCAATTTTGTAACTTCCGGAAAAGGTCTATAGGAAAATTTTGTATGGGAAATATCTTAAGTTCTCGAACACATTTACCTCCTCTTTTTCTTACCTGATGATGCCGACTCCTTCTCCTTGGCGGCCTGCTTCTCCTCCTTGCGCTTCCTGCCGCGCTTCGAGGTGCTGGGATACTCCACCTCCTCGTCGTGCTGGACAAAGTCGCTGTCCTCCTCGCTCTCGTTCTTCTTGCGCTTCTTCTTCTTGCGTCCCTTCTCCTCGCCCTTCCTGGTCTTGCGCTTCTTGCCCTTCTTCTTCTTGCGATTATCCTCCGGATCGTAGTCGTCATCCTCGTCATTCTATTATTTAATAAAAATCATTTTTTTTAGGGTGATTAGTTATCATTTCTATATATAGAAAATATGTTTATAAGGCATAGAGGTATAGACTTACATTCGGCTTTAGAGGCGCATCGGAATCGTTGGAAAGTTCCGCCGCAGGTGCATTGTCCTCCTGGGCCTCTTCTTCTTCTAAAGAAGGGGTATCAAAAAATTTTAAAAATACTTTTGATTAGTTTTATCCCAAAAACAAATATAGATCGCTTTGGTTGGGCGACCTGGAGTTACCGTGAGTCATGTTCAAGAAGGACCTTCAATCGATGGGCAAAAAAGGGACAGGAAGGAAAACCAAAAATAATAAAACCAATGGCAACGTTTTTTTTTCGATTCAATATTTTATTTGATTCTATTTTTTGCTTTTTTTGTCAAGTTTTTCTTTCTTTCTTCTTTTGTTGTTTGTGGTCTTAATAATTACTAGTATATAACAATATCTCTTTTTTTGTAAGATTTTTCATTCTGCTGGTCTTGTCAGCGGTTTTGCTCTTAGATTTACAATAATAATAATAATATTTTTCTCATGTCTCTTGATCTGGTTTACTCTTCTTCTTTACTTGGCTTACACAATCATTAATCGTTAATAAGTTCCTTTTCAATTGCTGTGTTAGTTCATGTGTGTGTGTGTTTGTCTGTGTTTGGTGTGTTTTTTTGTTTTTCGTGGGCGTGTCATATGTGGTTTATTTATGTATGAGGGCGTGGCATTTATATAAAACTAGTAAGTTTCTTTTGTTGCTTATCAAATGTCAATGTTGTATATATATATTATGTATATATTTAGTGTTTTTTTTTAGTTGTATATAAATTGTATATATGATTTTGTTTTTGTTGTTGTAATTGCTACGAATCGATTTTAAACGCTTGATTTTTTGCAACTTGATCTCAATGTTTCATTTGATTTTCCCTTTCGTTTGTTTTCATCCCCCTACTACTTAAATATCATATATAAAAAATATTGCAACGAAATAGCTAAAATTTCATGGTTTTATTCAATTTCGTGTTTTGTTTTATTTTATTTTACTTTTGCTTTTGTTTCGTTTCTCGTCTTCCTATCTTCATTTTGGACACTAGAGTTTCAGCAAATAATTTGATAATTTTTAAGCGACTTTATCATCTCTCCTCTCCACCTATTTTGCTTGTATTTCATTTAGTTCGTTATTATTATATTTTTACTTAAGGAAGCTTTCGTAACACGCTTAGAGTTGTCCTAAAACTAAAAGCAAACAACTTAAGGGGCCGCCATAGCTGTGATACAACCATTAAGTATATCATTTCTATTAGTCCTCTCATAGTTTTGAGCAATAACTAGTCCAAAGCCGCAAATAATATAAATAAAGTCTCTGTCTTCGGTCAGTACGGAAAATGTCGCTAATTTTTTTCTACGGTTTTTTCGTTACGGTTTTCTGATTGGAAAGGTACGGTACTGCTGGTGTTGGCTAAAAAAATAAACGCTACGTACGCGAAACAAAAACCTGTGTATAATTAAAACACAAAAATATATAACAAATTAACTAGTTATCGATAAAACAGAAGAATTTTTTTCTACACAAGCCGTTTAAAAGTTCAGTCTATTGTTTAGAGGCACGCCCGCATGCAACACCACCAAAGGGAAATAAAATTTACACACTCTTTTGCATATTTAATTGGGGTTGCAACGACTGAGCTGGTCATAAATAAAAAATTGCAGAAAAAACATTTGTATGAAAACTATAGATTTAAAAAATCTAAGAAATGGCCACCGAGTGCTTTACTTTCGGACAAAATATATTAAATACAAATATATAATTTTTTCCCCTTATAAATTCAAAGTTTTATAACAAATAGAAAACTAATTTTTCGAAATGTTTTGCCAACTAAAGTCAAATTACTTCCCCAACAGTATGCAAATGATTCTTTTAAGTTTGTTTCTGTGGTGCTCTCTTTTTCTCTCAGTGTGTCTGTCTGTCTGTTTGTCGGTTGGTTACGGTACTCAATTGTGGTCATCGTAGGCCTAGGCAAACATTGGCTCAATATCAGTTAACTCTACTCGCACCCAAAATCCCGATCGATCCCAATCCCAAATCCCACTATATCCTGGAAGAAGGACCTTGGGCACGTGCAGTCGGCAGCAGCGAGGACACTTTGTGCTGGCCCACTCGCGCTCGCTATATCTCTCTCAATCTCTCTCTTTCTCTATACACAAATCTAAAACAAAAGCTATGCCCAAAAATGCAAAAAAATTTGTCGATAAGTGTAGGGTGTGTATGTAGGGTGTGTGATATTTTTTGTGGGTTTTCCTTGTGTGAGGTGTGAGTGTTTGCCGTTGTTTGTAACAAATGTTAAACAAAAATCAAGAATAAAAATAAGAAGAGTCTAGATTAAAAACGAAAAACATACACGCTATATTTAAAAGTTGATAATAATAATATAATAATAATAATAATTATTACACACAAAACGCAAGGAAAAACATGTGTTTTCGTTTTCGTTTCTCATTTAGTTACTTAAGCTGCTCAATATGCTCAACAAAAAATTAAGTCTACAACTCGTATATAATTTTTTTTGCTTTCGCCGTTTTTAAAAATATTGATTTTGTTTCCTCCTCAACTCGTCTTCTTCTGGCTTGTTGTTGTTGTTGTTGTTGTTATGTATATATAGTTCATATATGTATTTTATATATATGTAGAAATCGGTGGCAGCAGAACTGGCCTGCCGCCTACCCTCGTTTTTTTTGTTTTTGTTTTATGTAATAAAAATTATTTTACGCGAAAGTTTGTATTTTTTGTTTAGTTTTTGTTAACATAATTTCAACATTTTTTTGAAGGTTTTTCTTGCTTGTAGTACAATTTCTTTTAGAACGTTTTTCTTGGTGTTTTTGTCGGTTTTGTTTTTTTTTTTGCGTTTTTACTATAATAGTTTGTAGTATTTATAATAGTTTCTTTCTTGTTTTGCCTTTTTACATTGGGGGATATCAGCGGATGGTCATCGAAGTAGTCCCAGCAGGATCAGTAGGGTGCCTCATCGTCATCGGTATTGGAGTTGGAATCATCGCAGTCCTCGTCGTCATCATCGTTCGAGTCCGAGCTGTCCGAATCCGAATCCGAGTCGCTCGCATTCTGCTGATGTTGCTGCTGCTGCTGCTGTAGATGTTGCTGCTGTAGATGTTGCTGCTGCTGCTGTTGCTGCTGCTTCTGTTGCTTCTGTTCTATCGTCTCAACAGCGTGATGCTGCCTCCTCTGCTGCTCCGCAACTGGAGGCGCTGCAGCCACTTCTGCGGGTGCAACAACCACCGGAGCCGCCGCCGTTGTGGCACTCATTAAAGTCTTGTCATAGTCCATCACCAGCTGCTTAATGTGCGCCAGCTTGGCGTGCAGATAATCAAACCGCTGCTTGTCCTCGCCAATGGTGCGATCGTTATTAATCCGCTCGTATTCGCACACAATCTGCCGCTTGATGTGATCGTAGTCCCCATATCCATTGTCACAGCGCCTGGCGCTCTCCAGACGCTCGGATAGATCCTGAAAACGATTGCGTACATCCTCGACGCGCGTCAACAGCTTGCGGTACTCATCGTAGTCGCTCTCGAATTCAGTCTTGTAGCGCCGCCGCACCTCCAGCGTCTGGATGGGCACGTATTGGCTGAAGTCGTAGCGGGGCATGGAGGATGAGTCCGCATCGGCGGTGGCATGGGCATAGGCATGGGCAGCGGCAGCTAGCTGTTGCGTGGGCGAGGGATGCTTGGCCTGCTGATGGTAGTTATTGTGCGGCTGCTGCTGTTGTGCCGCCTGTTGCTGCTGCTGCTGCTGTTGTTGACGTTTCTGCTGCTGATGCTGCTGATTCTGCTGCTGCTGCTGGAGGGAAGCGGTTCGCGGTGGCGGCACCTGCTGATAGCTGGAACTCCTCTGCCGCTGGCCATTCGATCCACCGCCACTGGCAGCACCACCACTACTACTCGTCCTCTTCTTGCTGTTGGAGGCCGCATGTTGCGTGTTATTGCTGTTGTACGAGGAGCTACTATAGTCGCTCTGCTGGGGCGGCAAACGTTGCTTGCTGGAGGCCGTTGCAGAAGCGGCGGCAGCGGGCACAAAACTGGCAGCCAATTTCGGCGGCGTCGTCGAAGAGGAGGCGGATTTGCTGCTGCTGCTGCTGCTTCGGTTCGACGACGACATTGCCGCCGTTGTCCGCTGGCGATCCTGTTGCGTCTCGTAGCCACTGGAGCTGCTCGAATTGCTGCCCGTCGAGTTGCGCTTATCCTTGTTGCCGCCTCCATTGCTGCTGCCCGCCAAAGAGGAGCTGCCTCTCCTACTGCTACTACTGCTGCTCCTCGGATGATGTTGTTGCTGCTGCTGCTGCTGCTCAAGCGATTGCTGCGTGGCCGCTGCCGTCGAGCTCATAAACTCCTCCATGTTGTCCAGCACATTGTAGCTGAGGTCACTAGTGCTGTGATCATCCAAAGGACCTGGCTGCCTTTGCGGCGGCGTATAACGATTCCGACTGGAGGAAATCGACACGGGAGCAGAGGAGTACGAGGTGCCCGAGGGCGGAGTGTCCTTCTTGTAGTGACTGATGCGCTGCTTCTTCGGCTGAACCGTGCTGAACATGGTCTCGTCGTACTCGAGGCTGGTCCGCTTTAGGCCACCACCACCGGCTGAACCTGCAACTCCGCCGATTCCTCCCGGACCGCCACCACCGCCATTGCTCGGCGGCGGCGGACTGCCCGTGTGCGTCGATGTGGGACTCTGTCCAGACGTCGAACTACCCGCATCCGAGCTCATCGGCGGCGTCAGATTCTGCGGCTTGCGACGCTTCAACTGCTGCACTTCCTGCTCGCTGAAAAAGGGCCAATTCTCGTCCACATCGTTCCACATCTGGCGACGCAGATTGTACGTGTTGTGCGACATGATGCTGATGTCCATGAGTATGTTGGTGATCTGGTTGCGCTCCCGATCCCGTATTCCCTCGTTCTTTAGCCGGGCGAACAGTTCGGGTTTCTTGAAGGCCTTCAGGGCCAGCAAATGGATGAGCCGTTCGCGTATGTTGCGTCTGGACACATCGGACATCTTGTTGCCGCCCGACGACTTGTTATTGGCACCCCTGGAGGAGGAGGAGGAGTTGGAGGAGGTTAATCCTCCGCTTGGCATCTTGTTGCGTGAGGAGATGGCTGATGATGCTGATGCTCCAGCTGCTCCAGCTGGCATGGCTTCCCTTGGCGAGCTGCCGCTCAGGTTATTGTAGCCCTGCGAGATGCCGTTGGCGAATGTGGAAGCTAGCGAGGAGGCTGCACCACCGCCACCACCGCCATTATAGCGACCATTGACTGTGCCGCTGGCGCCCAGGGTGCTGGGATTGGGCGAACGCGAGGCGAACGCGTTGGAGGAGCTGCTGGATCCTACGCCTAAACCATTAAATGGCGATGAACCTAACTTACGACTATGGTTGTTGCTATTAAAACTATTGCTGCTGTTGTTGTTGTTGATCCCACTGTTGTTGTTGTTGCTGTTGCTGTTGCTGCTGTGATGATGAAATGCCGTCGTCGTCGTCAAACCAGAATTAGAGTTAGAGGAGTTGGAGGAGGAGAAGGCTGAGGCGGATACGGATACGGAGGACTGGACTGCCGAGGGCGGCTTCTTCACCTTACGCCCGATATCCGACTGATTCGGTTTAATCTCCCTGATGCACTTGCTCTTCTCCGTCTCCTCGGCAATGGCCATTTTTGTGCGTGTCGTATCGTAGACATCGTCATTGGCATGGATCCGCATTCGCAGGGTGACCGCTCCGAGGACTCCGAGGTTCTGTTGCTGCTGCTGAACGCACTCGAGCGTTCCCTCCATATTGTTGATGGTGAAACCAAATTTGCGACCTCCTGATCCTCCTCCTGATCCTGACGAGGCCTCGCTGCCATTGCCATTAGCATTAGGGATGCCATTAGCATCCGTCGCTGGTCGCGGGAACTGGATGACGCCCGTGTTGCCCACAAATTGGATCTTGGCCCGCTGGTTGGGCGGCAGGCGCTTGGCGTTGTCATCGCGCTGATATTCCTCGATCGCACGGAACGCTGAATCGGTGAGCTTGACGATGATGTACTCCTTGCTATCATCGGTGTAACGGTGGCTCTGGGACATTCCATAATTGCCGGTCGATAGTGCATTGGGCAGGCATTTCGTTGACGCAATCGAATTGGTCATAACGTGCGCGCAGCTAGCCGCCAATTGGATAGCAATTTAGATAGCCCCTCGATCGTTCCCGGTAAATGGATAATCTGGATAATGTTGGAAGGTTGGAAGGCTGGAAGGTTGCTCTTTCTCGGTTGGTTGGGCCAGCTTGGAAATCGTGGAAGGGGCGGCTGCTGGGCTTGCTTGGAAGGTGGTGTGCTCGTGGAAAAGGACGGGAACGTACGGGAAGCACTCGTTGCGGAAGTGTTGTCAATCCTGGAAGCTGCCACTGGAAAGTCCTCTCTCCTGCTTCCGTTATTCAGTTGCTGCTGTTGTTGTTGTTGTTGTTGATTCTGTGCAAATATTGCTTGATTTTAGTATGTTGTAATCGTAACTGAAATTTACGTTGTTGCTAAGACGTGACACACATGCACAGTGCTCTCTTTTGCTCTGTCACACACACACACAAACACTAACTATAAAGGCTCTCGATCATTTTTTTTTAAGCTAAGCTTACACAAAAATCTTTTTGTTTAACGAATGCAGACTCTCTTTGTATTTGCCGTAAGAATTTCACTTCCGTATGGCAAAAAGGCAACCGTTTTTAAATTTTACACTTTCAAAAAGTCATATACTCTCTCTCTCTCTTTCTCGCTTGATTGGATTGCTTGCTCTTGCTTTGCTTTGCTTTGTATGTGTGTTGCTTGCAAATAACACAATTTCTTTTGTTAAATAATATGGTATTTTAATTGGGTTAAGGTAGGCATGTATGTTTGCTCTCTTGTCCCTGTTTTTGTTGCTTTTAAATGTTACTGAGCGAGGGAGACGGACGGGGGGAGGCCTTTTGCTACGACTACTGCTCTCCTCTCGCCCCGTTGTTGCGTTTTTTCTTGCTGTTTTTAGTTGAAAGTGCCGCAAGCAGCGACTCCTGCGCCAGGTGTCAATATGTGTGTGCGTGCGTCTGTCGCGTGCGCTCTCTCGCTCGCACTCGCCAGTATGTCTGGATGATGATGTTTGTATGTAAGAGAGCACCTCAGGTCATAAGCAAAATCAAAGACAGCAAATCAATGCTCTGCTCTGCTCGCACACGTCCGTGACTGGGCTCGCGCTCTCTCACTCGCTCACACGACGATCGCAGCGAGCGCGTTGAAGCGAGACAACTGCTGGTTTGATTGGCTTCTCCGCGACTTGTTGTTGTTGTCGTTGTTGTTGCTGCTGCTGGCTGCTTGATCTTTTTTTCCTTTTCGCTTTTTCGCTAAAAATCATCTGTGTTTGTACGCTGATTTTTATATATTTTACTGGCACTGGCACTGGCTCAGCTTATTATATTTTTTAGTTGCACATAGATACATAAGTACGTTTTGGTCTATCGCAGTGTGCACAGGCATACGCACACATTTACAAAAACAAGCACTGAAACGTTTCTTTGCACACGCACACGAAATTTCAATTTCAGCACTTGAAATATTGTTTAATTTGAATGCCTTTTAACCACTTTTAGTGCTGCGATTGTATGGAGTGGCAGGCATACACACACACACACGCATACGCTTTACGCGTTCGAGACACTTTTACTCAAGACATTTTTGGTTAAGTGGATTTTTTGTACTTTCATTCGGAACTGTTCTGAATTTGTGATTTTAACTTCCACTTCTTGTTAAATGTGTGTTTTTAAGTGCAGTTTAGTTGCCTTCTCTTCTTTTGTAGTGCGTCTGTGTGTGCCAAGGTATCTTAATCAACGTACAAAAGGTATCTGCTAAATGAAATCGAAACGAGTTGCTTTCAAGTGGTTGCCCGTCGCTAGCTGTTGTTGTTTTTGCTGCTGCTGCTACTACTGCTGCTGCTCTCTTTGCACTCGTTTATTACAAGTGAGAGAGCGGAAGTAGCGAGTGGGGATCACCATCACTTCTCTCTCTCTCTCTCTTAGCCACTCTCTTGCACTCGGACTCTCTCGCTTCTTTGGTATGTACGTGCCTTGTATCACTTGCCGTATTTTTAGTTGTTTTTGTTTTTGCCAGTCAAGCAAAGCCAAGCAGAAATGAAAACAAGTTTGCAATATTATAATGTGCGCACTTGGCACTCGTCAATCTCTTCGTTTTGGCTCTCTTGCAGCGCGCATGTGTGTTGTTTGTGATCTGGGCACGTCTTAGCAAATGTTAAAATGAAAAAAAAGTAGTAAGCTTACTTTTGGTTGTGTGAGTTTGTTTTTAGCTGGAAACTGCAGGCGGCACTACAAAAAATAGTTCAGCTTAGTGGCGAATAAACAAGCAAACAGGCACGGGCGTACTTACAATTGATTATGTATTCTACTAAAAAACAGATTGCTTTTGCTGTTGAAACAGCTGTTTTGCCACCTGTATGCCCCCACACCACGTCACACGTAGTAGTTTGTGCTGCTCTCCCTCTCTCTCCGCTCTCTTTCTCGCTGCAGCGAAAAAGTTCCAACAAAACAGAAAAAAAAAACAGCGCGACTGCAACAACAACCGTGTGCCAGTCGCAATCAGCTGTTTTGCGCTCACTCGCTCTGCTCTCTCTCTCTCTCAGGCAGCAGTGTTGGGAAGTGCGACTTATCGGTTGGATGGTCTGGAGTTATCGGTCAATCGATAAAGGAAGCAACAGCGAAAATGAGCTTTAAATTTGGACGTTGACTTCTTGTTGCTGCAAAATTGTGACCAACTTTAGTATAAAATCACGTTTATGGCTTTATTTTGCATACTTGTGGATTGATTGTTGCTTTTCAGTGTGCGAGCGCGTGTGTGTATATTGCTGAATTCCGCTCCGTTGCCGTGTTGCTGCTCTGACTTATTTTCACTCTACACTTTGGTAATAAAAAAAAGGGAAACACTTTACTTTAGTATTTTATTTGCTTTGCACTTGAGATAGTTTTTTCCACTCTCCCATTCCACCGCGAAACCGTTACTTGTGCGTTTTTCTCTTCTTTTTTTTTTGTTTGTTTTGCGTTACGCGGATCGCGATCATACGTTTTTTGCGCTCAGCTGTTTTGTGTTTACGTTACTCGCTCTCGCCTCTCGTTGCTCTCTCACTCTCTCCCGCTCTCACGTATTCAAGGTTCTCTTAGCGAAGAGAGCGCGAGTGCAGAGCACGCGACATTCGCTCCGTCATATTTTTGCCCCGTTGCTGTTTTTGGTATTTTTTGTTCACTTTTGACATTTTTGCATACGAAAATTTTCCGCTTTCAGGTAGATTTACCGTAGCGCTGATCTTCTAACTCTTAAATGCGAGTGTGTTGGTTAGTGTGTTTGTGTGTGCGAGTTTGTTTTGAGTGTTCGCATTTTCGTCGTGCCTGTTTTTCTGCCTTTACCGTTTTTTATTTTTTGCCTGGCTTATCTCGGTTCTGTTTGTTTTTCGCTAGGAATTTGAGCCGCACACAAACACAGTAACACGTGCGTATATGTATGTACGTAAGGTAAGCGAAGTGTACTTTTGTATTCCACAATGAAACTATATTTCTATTTCGTTTTTCCCAACTGTCAGTGGTTAAAGTAAGGTAAAAACAGTCAAGGGCGCACACCTGCCCATGGGTGGGAGCGAGAAGGCAGCTAACAGCCACTGGCCAAACCAAAGGGGAGCGAAAAGATAGGAAGATGTCATCTGGGGTCGTAGGAAAAACCCAGATTACAACCTTTTATATTTAGCTATCCGACGAGAAAAGGACGCCCATAATTGAGGTTTAGAGAAAAGTCAACCCTTACTTTTCTAAGGTTATAAAAACTCTGGGTTCATTTCATAAACACAGCCTGTGATCAAAAATATACAAGCTAACGACTTTGTTTTGAAACTATAGATTTCCTGAGGATCAAAACATTAATTAATTAAACGTCTATAAAAAGGACAACCTGTATTTGAATATTCAGTATTATTACTAAAAACAGTTTTAAAAATTCAACCAACTTTATACATATCTCAAAAGTTACCTGAGACGAACTCAAGGCCTTGCTGGTTAGTTTCATAAAACAAAAAACATTTTTATTATCAATCTTTGAAAAGTGCACGTTTAAACTTGACTTTTAATATTTGAACCCAAGTCCCAGATAGATTTTGTTTTGTATTCTTTAAATAAAATTCGAGTCCTATGTTCTTTCCCTCAAGTGTAAATACAATGCTGTCCCTGGACGGTGTCTGTATTTGTGTACGCCGCCTCGGTAACAAAAAAAATTCGCCGTCAACTTTAAACAAATTAGCTGAAATATATTCAACTGTGCATATAAAACAACAAAGAGTCGCAGCGCAGCCACCAAGCAACCATAATACAATTTCAAGTTTCGTTTTTGTTCAAATAGCATTGAGGAAAAACGCCGAAAGGCCAATGCACTGATACAACTCAAAGTGAGGTGAGGTGAGCAGAGGGATGGGAATGGGAATGTGAACAGGAGGAGGAAGAGGAATAGGAATAGGAATAGGAAGAGGCACAGGGTCAGGGGCCAAAGAACAGGCAAAAGGAAATGCGAGGACTTCGACAACAGCTGGCCGCAGGAAACAGGAGCCATCAACCGCTAAGAATCCAGGGGAAAGGCAAACAATGAACAAGTAGGAAGTGCACGATCCAGACTTCCAGATACTCAGTAATCAGTAAAGAACAGACATCTAAAGATTACAGAAAACAATCTTAATAGGATCTTAAAATGTTCAAAGTCAGCATGACTCAATTGGAGATTTCTTTTAAAATAAATCAAAATATTTATAAGAATTTTTAGGGATTTTAGGACTTATAGATTAGATTTTTCCGATATAAGAAATTTAATATGTTTCTAATAAATCTATGATGCTTTAGGGATATAATCGTATTTCAAGATCCTTTAGACTTAAGATACTTTTCATTGTCAAATCGATTTGATTTTGATAAGCATAGTTTATGTGTAAAATGTGTTTAATTCCAATCAACATACCCTCACTTGCTACGAGGTGGAATAAGTGGAAACTTTTTGAAAAAGATGGAAGAAAAACGTGTGCAATGGAATGCTCAAGAGAAAAGACAAACGCACACGCTCACGAACGTGAACACGCTTCCCTAAACCCGCCGTACAATCCATTCCCCTAGGTGCATTCACAAATGTATGTAAAAATGTATAATCTCACGGGTGGAAAATAGATGACACACTCGTCGCTGTGGTTCTACATACATATACATATATACATAATATCTATATATTCGTAGACCGATGCAGCTGTCAGCTGTGCACGAGCAGTTTTCTTTGTGCTACACTTCTTTACAACAACGAGAGATAACAATGCCCAATGAGGAAATGGGGCAAGAACAACAAGAAAATCATCGGGGACGGGCCTCTCAGCTATGTTTGTGTATACACAACAGCACACAGCACATCCACAGGGTAAATGTTGTAGGAAATCTTTGCAGAACACCAGGGTTGCCACCTACAATCGCAGAACGATCGATCGATACAAACTGACCGACGAGGGATAGAACATGAAAAGAAAAGCTATAGCTTCTTATCGAGGAAGTGGAGAAAAGTCTTGTAAACGTACTAATAAAAAAAACAGCGATTAGGAAAAAATATTATTGCAGAAATCAGTATTTTCCAGAAGCAACTAGTATCACATTTAAGTCTTAAATTATAAAGAATCGCCATATTATCTTATCACAGACAATATTTTAGGTACATTAATTCAGACGTCAGTGAAAACTAAATGTATGGGTTACATTTTTGCCTCAACTAGCTCATTTTTAAAACAGTTGGAACAACTCTACAACGAATAATAACATTAAGATTTCTAAGAAAATAATTAAATTCAAGCGAAGTGAACGTGTAGTACATTTAATGTAGGGTTCTTATCAAGAAAAGCCAAGTCTTTCAAATTAACATTCAACCTTATTTTTTAATCTTTACTAATACAAGATCGTGGTAGACTAAAAATACTGTGTAGAAATAATATAACAATTACCCTGCGAAAGCAATAAAATAGCTATAATATAATGGTCTGG